GAGTGTTGCCAGCATCCTCCCCTGGTAAAATCACATCAGTGCTACTGAAGCTCCAAAGCTCAAGTTTGAAGCCCTATGTTCCACTCAAAATGCGGAGTATTAAAAAAATAAATGGTAATAAGTAAGTTCCAATCAAGAAGAAAACGAGAACGTAAGGTATCAGTTTCACGAATTCCAAAACTTCATTTTATTTTGAAATGTGCTCAGGATATCTAGTACTAGTATATTTACTACGTTCCGATGAAATTCGGTGATAGAATCGGTGAATAATGAAATAATAATCAAACATACCTAAACTCACCTTGTTACAAATCACGATTTCAAACTATTAAATTATTATCGCTATTTTATTTTTGAATTTAAACTGATCATAAGTTTATTTTAAACCTGTCCAATACGTCCAATACGTTTGCGTCATTCGATTGTCGTATAATTAATTGTGACATGTAAATATAAACTATTAGTATGTGCCTTAGTTATCAAACTTCAAGGTCAACTAATGAAAAGTGACATAACATCAGTTTTTGTGAATCGTCTAAAAAACCACAGTACTTCGGAGAATTCGAGTTTCTAGTTGGAGAGAACGCAAATAAACATGAAAATTGCCGTCATTGTCATCTTCATTAGACTAAGAGTCACATTTACTCCATTTTCCAACATTTATATTCACTTCTGTGTTCAGGGTTTGTTGATCACACTCAGTCTCACATTTTATTGTTCATTTCTTCAGTGATTAATCTTCTTTCTGACTACCCATCACTCCACTATCAACATCCGGGTGTCCACAGTGTCTTACCACTTCTTCATCCTAACGAAATCCTAGAAGGCTTTCCCTCTATGTCGTTTTCAGTGAGTCCTAGTATTCCTCCATGCAGGTTTCTTCGATGATACTGCTGAGTGCAGTTCAGTTTTTCACCTTAGCTTCGCGTTTCGATCTCTCAGTGTTGAACTTCAATTGTGATTTATCGACACCATTTTCAATCTAGCTTGTTTCGGGCTGGCGTAGTTCTGCATCCAGTGCATCTTCTATTCTCCCCAGGATGATGTGACTTAGTATTTTACTTGGCTTGGACAAGAGCATGATTCCGTGTCAGTTCTTGCAGAGGCGTAAGTCGCCCTCCTTTGGTAGCTTGACAAGATAGCCAACCTTTCTCCCAATCGGTAGACACCTTTCCATCCTTCCAAACCTTTTGGAGTAGTGGTGTGAGCACATCTGCTTCAGTCTCTGGGTTAATCTTCAGTGCTTCGGGGGAATTCCATCTGGTCCTGCTGCCTTCCCGAACTGCAGTAGCTTGATCGCATTCAGGATTTTTGCTTTTATTGGAGAATTGTTGTCCACTAGCAGGCAGTTTTGTGTGTGGTGTTGGTGGCACATCTGGGTGAATTGCGTGTGATGGCCGATTCAAGAGTCCTTCAAAATGATCAACCCATTGTTTGATTTGTTTCTCCTCCTTGGTGATCAGGTTCCCTTCAGCATCTTTTATTGGTTTCATCATCCAGTTGGATCTCTTCCCGGATAGAGGCCTGGTTACCTGATACAGCCTTCTGAGGTCTCTTTTATCTGCAGCCTGTCTGTTCTGCTTGAGTTCACAGTGTGTCGTAAAATTGACTTTTTTCTTTCATAGCACTCTTCTTCACTTCTTTATTCAGTGCAGTGTACAGTGAACTCAGCTTCTTCTTCTGTTGCCCATCTTTGCATTGAGTCATCTTCTCTTTCACCATCCTCCTATCCTCGATTAGCTCTCAGGTATCCGTTGAGAGTTATTCTTTGTCCTGTCTCTGCCTTCTTCCTAAAACACTTATACACCTTTCCTTGAATATCACCATCAGAGAGTTAGTTCCAATGTTCTTCCATGCCAGTTTCTACAGTGATAGCACGTGGTGTCTCCGACTTTGCTCTGATATCTCTAGGGAAGCTGTGATTTGTAGTTTTGTCCTTCAGTTTCTGAGTGTTCAGCTTGAATTGTGGCCTGTCTCCACTTGTTCCGAATGCTTTCAGTTTCAACTTGAAAGTTTCTTGAACTAGGTGATGGTCTGGGCCGACATATGCTCCCCTACTCGACTTTGTATGCAGTAGGCTAGCTGCTCCTCCACCATTGAGATGAAGTCTATCTGATTTGTACTGTGTCTATCAGGTGATGTCCATGTCACTCGCCTTGTGTATATCCTTGTGGTTGTACACACTGCCTCCGATCACCAGATCATTGAAAGCGCAGAAGTCTGAGACGAATTCTCCGTTGTCATTCATTTCGCCATGCGAGAGCATGCATATCAACCCATGATGAGTTCTCTTCCTGTGTTATCTGCTCCCAGTTTGACATTCACGTCACACGTTATGATCTTGATGTCTCCATTTGGGATGTTGTCTATTAATTACTGTTTGTAGTTGTCTATAAAAATCTTCCTTCTTCTCTTTCTCCGAGTTGTTTGTAGCACTGTGCGTAGCATTGGATAATTTTAACTGCACAGTCTTCTTTTCGAGTCGAATCTTGCCATCATGATCCTGCATGAGGGTATTGGCTCTCACTGCATCAGGGCTTCGGCTGCCACTCATCCTCTCAGTGTGCTCGTGATTGTCGTCTGGGTGACCCGACTGGAGTAGATTACTGGCTCTCCAGTTGACAATTTCGACAGTCCAATTCCATTCCATCTGCTCTCACAGATTCCCAGCACTTCTATGCCACACCTCCTAGTTTCTTTGGCTACCTGAAATGTCTTCCCAGCCCAGACTCGTTCATTGTACGGGCATTCCACGTCATCATTCTTATTCTTGCTTTCATCGCGAGAGAGCTATGTATCTATGTGAGACTTGCTGCGAAACTAGTTTTCGGTAATATTTGAAGTGTCAGTTAATCCGTTTTTTTGACTTATGCAATGTACTTCAAGGGAAATTATGGAATAGAATGTTTATGAACGTGCCTTACTAACATTATCAAAGACTAATCACTACCAATGAGAGAAATCTTAACTCTTGCATTTTTCTTGACATCATTTTTTCAACTTCAGGTGGAACGGATCAAGGCGTGAAATGCAGGTTCATAAATGCAAGCCAGTTCTTCATTTCTCAAAAATCAGTTTATAAATTTACTGTATTCGGTAGAAGGAGCACGATTCCTATTTTCAATACTTAAGTGGCTATATTCACACTCATTTCGACGTTCCAACTAACTTTGTAATCTCTATCCATTTTTCTCCTAGTCTATATATCATTTCTCTGAAGTTTGCTTATCACGTGATGGCCTTTATTTCTTTTTATCTTCGATTTCAATTCTTCTATTTGTGGTTGTGTCGCAAAATGTATAATATGTTATTTTACGACTGTGACGTTGTTTGAGTAAGTCAAGGTCATCCTGACTTTGAACTGTCTGCGAGAATCGTGGCGTCGGATTCTTGATGACAGAGTCATAATCCCAGCTAGTTGGGAATATGCTGCTTGGTACTGCGGTACTTCCCACGATTGAGGCTGGTTAGCTAAGTTTGTTCTACAATAATTGTCTTGTACCTGGGAATTATCTAGCCTGTTTCTCTCTTTGGAGGCACTATCGAGGTAGTTTGCAGTGTTTGATATCATTATTGTTGTCGAATAATACCATAGAACTTATCTCAGATGACTGTCTGTTTGCTTTTGTTGCGGCACATTCCGGCTTCGCGAAACACAGGAAAGGTTTAGTCAGTTATACAATAGAACGCATAGGCTGTTTGCCTGCATTCACACCACAACAAGTCGCTTTGTGTCTTTACAAAGCGTATATCCCACGCATTCCCACATCTAAACAATCACATTTGCTACCTGCGAAATCAAACTTTTATCAGACAGTTCGGAAACAGTCATCTTTACCTGTTTGGGAAAAAATTTCTAAAAACATTATTATTAGCAGTAGCAGTGGTAAATAATTCGGTGTTGACTTCATCGGGAACATAAAATGATCCAACTCGACTCCCATCAAGCTACAATCATTTGTAACACTTTGACTGTCACAAACATGAGGGTTTATCATTTACTTTCTGCCATGCACTCAGTTATAGTATGTCAATACACTTAAGAAGTTCCCATATATTTCTGAACGGCACGGTAGAATGGTAGCGTCTGCTATTGACTTGTAATTGTTGGAAGGTCGTGATTTCGGTCGTCAGTGGAGTCATGTCTGCTTACAGTCACTGATTAAGATGGAATAGCTGTGAGGCACTCAATGCTTTTTCACTGGTTCTCTAATTTTTGTCGGTTCTCGACAAAATTTAAAATGAAGTCAGCCAAATCTCTACTAACAAACACTTGACAATATGCGAACAATAACTATGCATTCGGATGTCATCGTACGTTACTCGTACTAATTCACTCTGTTTAATAAATGGAAAAGTCTGCGAGTAATGAAAGTTTAGTTTATGCATAACAAAATCAATCTTTCAAAATCGACGTCATAAACATAGATTCTTGGAATATTGAACAATGCATGCTGCTCTATTTAGAAGTCAGAAAAGATTTGAACAGAAACTGGCATGATTTTACTTATATCACATGATAATATGGATGGTAATATTCTTCAGTGAGAAATGAAAATCATATTAAAATAAAAACGTATAGCATTCCTTCGCGAAAATATGGTGTACATTGCGTCCATTGAATGAAAATATTTCCTTTGGAATGATTACTACTGCACACAAATCTTGAAAATGTATGTACAGAAGACTCACAGTGAGTCATAAGTGAGGAAGATTCAAAGAGAAGATAGAATGTAGAGAACTTTCAAACTTATCTTGCTGTACCACTTAAAAGCGGAATGGCCAAAACCAAGCCGTCATTTATATGCAACTGGTTGTAATAATTGGATTTGTACAACAGAAAGTTTAACAAAAGCAATAAATTTGAAGATGATTCTGAAAGCAAAATTTTCTCAAAAGAAAGATTGAAAGACTTTCACCGAAACGGAATAAGTACTTTTATCAAAATTTTGTTTATTATTATTCGTGCATAATTTGAACAGTGATGACTGCGTCTTAATTCATTTTTGGCTAGACCGTTCAAATTCCCGTAGTTCCATGGCTGTGATAAATGTTATCTCTACACAACCAAAGACAACAAACCATTCGCTTATTGCACTCCATTTGAATTCTTCGTAACCCTGAATAGGATTGGTTGAAAAGCAATAACAGTTATCAGGTGGCCCATATAAAATCAACAAACGCTATGTTTACTCTATATATTTGAACCATATTGAAACAACGAATCAATATCAAGGTCAAAAATACTAAGAGGTGCGGATTTCCAAACTGATTTCAGATTATACAACATCTCTCTTGGTTTTCCTATACAGTTTCGCTTTCACATCCTCATTCGTAACGCTACTACTTAAGAAGATGCTACCCAGTTGTGGCAAGTGAGAGAGGCAAGTTTCTTCAGATTTATCCCATGAATAATGATTGGTGTTTGCTGTGCATAAATTATATTTGTCAACTGTCTTCTCTATGTTCCTCTGAAGTCATTTCATCAGTACCCCTTCTGCTATAATGTCGCTTTTCGCTACAACGACAACTACTACTGTGACATTATCCATTGCAGAGTAAATCCAGTCATCAACAATTTAGTTTGTCTTCTGAATCCATTTGTAGATTTAAAAAAATCCAACTCACCTATCTCGATTTGTTGGTTACTTTAGTGAGTCTTAACTAAATTCAGCGTTAAATTAAAAAATCATTCAGTGTGGTAAAATTGGGCTATTTTGGCCATCTGATATTTGAAAAATCGGGTTAAAATTTGAAAAAGACTGTCATGACTTACAGGTTCATAAGTTTTAATATAAAAGAAATCCTTTGCCCGTAGTACTCGAAGACCAATTTGATTGAAGTGAACAACTAAAATGGAATGTCAAAGTTTACAAGTCAATGAGCAGTCTCTCTTCAGTCATAAATCCCAGATACTTGCGTTATTTTCTTCACTGAAACTATTTCCTACAAAGTGTGGAATCAACCCAATCAATTTTACTAGAGTGGGATTTGTCTTAAAGATTGAGATTTCTGAGTAAAAAACAACAATTCATCACCATAAGTTTGTGTGTACCGCTTTCAACAACACATCACACGTTTCATGTGAATATATATACATACACATACGCATATATTCACCAAAAACAATCACAAATCGTTATTTAGCAAACAGTGACTAATATATAAGTGCGATCTGATTCTCCGCACTGCTACTAAAACTTCAAAGCACAAAACAAAAGCCCTATGTTATACTAGAAAATCAAAGGAGTCAAATATATAAAATAACATGTGAACGATCAATATTCGTGTGAACACAACGTGTGGTTTCAACTTTCGCAAAATGTTGTATCTGTCTGTGTGTGTGTGCAAAACTATGAAGTTGTCACATTTGTCATTTTGACGACAGGCACTTACATGAAGCAGATGCGAGTATCATTTGAAGTACGACAAATAGTCTCCCAAACGAAAATAATATCCATTTAGTCGATATGAACGATATGACGATTGCCCCAAGTGGAATGGCAGTAACATGGCAGATAAAATTACCTAGAGTCAGTCGGTAATGTAGGGAGTTGTTTTGTTTCGTCTGGTATGAAATTTATGTGGGAAAAACATAAAATATAAAAATTAGTTCCAGAACCTCATCCATTGAGATCAAATATATAAACTAAATATTATAGTATTTCATTGAATATCGTAGGCCTTCGGGTGGTTCATACTACAAGCTGACATTCGAATATTGATTTGACGCCATTTCCTAATAGTCAATTGCTCGTGCTATCACAAAATTAAAGGACAGTTAAAATCCCAAAGTATGCTGAAGTATACCTAACTCCCTGTCTCAGAAAATACACTGAACACGCAAACGAAAATATCAGATTATTTCGAGGCGATTGAAAGCACTTATGCTTTGAGATAAAGGTGAAAAGCAAGTTATTTTCTGAGTTAATCATTTGCTGGATAGATTCTTCACCGTCATGTTAGACGACTCCTCCAACAACACTGTCAATTTTTATCTTACATTTTGTAATGCAGTGAAGAATCATTGTTCCTTTGAGGAAACAATCAGATATGAGACCGATCTTTGGACATTTTCGCATTTTCCTCCTTGATTCACTAGTTCATTTTTCATCAGAATTACACTGAATTATGATGCTTGTGGAAGCACTTCATTCATTAACAATGCGGAATTTTGTAAGGTAAGATTGAATAAGGAATCATGAAATCTCTCATCAGTCGCATGTCTCAATGACTTTATGACAAGACGAATAAATACATGTAATTGTCATCATTGTTTCCCTTAAAGTCTGCATAACTGATAACTACATGACGACTATTTTGATGGTTATATTCCTATAGCTCGATACATGAGCCAGTTGTTCGTCTTACAAACAATTCTGTGTCATTAGAAGAGTCATTCAAAGTGATGCGTGCAGCCAGTTTTCATGTTGCATCTTCTCTCAACAACAGCAGCCCTTCGTCTCATACACAGGGAAATCCTTAGATTGTGTGTAGAAGAGTGGTTCGATGAATCCCTTTTACTACCACGACTCTCAAATTTTAATTTTTCTAGCTGCTTGTACAATAATTTGGCATGTGGTCAATATTCAGTTGGATTTTCGGTTCTTCCTTTCTCCTCTCGAAATTCTTATTTTAAGGCGTACTTTATATATAGTCTGCGCCCGTGACTCCTATGAAGAGCATTCCTGTTTCCAAGCACTTGGTGTTTTATCGGTAACCATTTCTGAGTGACATTCACCACTTAATGTCTTCAGACCACGTAGGACAATACTTGAAGAAATCTCGGAATTAATTGTTTATTCTTCCTGAAATGTCATTTTGTATCTTTGCATCAATTGATAATAACAACCGATCTTTCAGAACACTGTATAAATGTACAGTTTTGAAGTGAGATTACCAAAATAACATTATTTTCTGGCCGATGTCGTTTTAATTAGGTGCTGTAGTGCTACAACATTTTCTCATATCTCATAACATAAATGAGCTTACATTGATAAACGAAAGTCCCACTATGAATATTCCTGCTGCAGTCATAAATACCACATAATTTGCACGGATTATATGAAGAATTTTTGACCTTGTTTTCCTCCTTATTTCGTTACCAGCTTTCAAACACCATATCCACTGACTCATTGTTGCTACATCACAACCAAGAAAATATAAAAGAATAGAAGACCAAGTTAACATAACATTTAGATAACCGAGATTCATAATATTACTAGATAACTTCTATGTCACTCTCCTAAACCAATGAACTCACCCATTATGCCGTATGATGACATCAATATCATGAACATGTACTGTTCTGGTGGATATATACCCAGGGCACTGTAAACAATGAAAGAAATATTTGGTATTGTGAATGAGATAAAATTCAAAATGTTGTAATAATAATCACTCAATGTGATAACTGCTCGAATGGCAATAGCTAATTTACCATGCAGTAAGAAAGCTGGTATCTTTTCTCAAAGTATTTTTCTCCGCTTCAAGTTTCTTAAAGTAACGGACGAACTATGTCTTGGTCAAACAGTTCACAGAAATGCATGTTCACTTTGTTGTACTATGTTGCATGTGCGCAACGTTACTGGTTCACCAAACTCAGTTGACTAACTGGTTTTCTATATTATTTATTGATAGTTTTGTCCCTCCAGCCGGATCGCTTTCGTTTCACTGCTAGTAGCTGACATTATGGGAAGAAATTGACTTCTTAATAAGTCTCAGAATTTTAAACCTCACTTTAATTTATCTTCTTTATCCTGAGTTTTAAGTTGTTTAGTAGTGTGAAATATGCCTAACTTTACAACTGTAGAAACATTAAACCTTCATATTCAGTGACAGTTAGACTATTTGGCCTTTACGTTTCACATAGCAATTATAAGCTGTAAAAAATGCAGATATCCGGCTTCTTTGTAAAGCGAAAAAATTCCATTTGTCTGATAGAAAACCAGCTTCCTGTCAACTTCTGTCATACACCCTATGAGATGTTAGGGCGACTCCATCTTTCTCCTGCTGAGTCTGATATAATTTGACAATACAATTCATATCTTCTGAATATAATTTATGAATAAATGAAGTCAGTAAGAATAGTTCAGTCCCCTTTTGTCGTCACTGAGAAGTCGCAAACTGTTTTTCGTCTCCTACATCACTGTGTCAGGTAGTTAATTAGCAGCTGCACATCTTACCACATTTCATGAAGTCATAAATTTTCTGAATCAGAAAAGAATTATATGTCTAAAACTATTCTAGCTGTAGCTTCAAAGTTCACTTCATGAAGACGAAAGGTCTTATACAGTGTGAATGACGAGAAGTCGATAAAACTCCATTTTAGTATCCATATACTTTCAACTTGATTATAGGCTTTAAAGAAACCCAGGGAATACGGCGTTGTAAACTATTGTCGGTACCAGTGTCTGATACTTCCATTCATCCGTTCTTAATTGTTTCTTTCTATAGTATACTGAAACATCTGGATGATTCAGCTGGAGTCACACGGCTGTATCACTTGTAATAAAACATAGCCCATTTTGAAGTGGTCGTCAGCCTTTTTCTTACAGCAAACTTCATGAGAATACCTAATGAAGCTAAAATTAAAAATCGGATCATTCTTCACTGACTCCTCATACTTATCTTCGAAGTATTTGTTAATTAAACTTCCCCTGGATGCGGCGTTCTAAGGCAATTAATCCCGATGCTTTACACATACTCACGATTACATTTCATGTGACAACCATTAAGCTTAACACTGCCCGTTCAAATTTCAGAATACTATCAGTCGCTTGCACTAGTGAGATTAATGGTTGCCGTTTTACTTTTTAAAAAATGGTTTATCCACTTGTTAATCTCTAGTCATGTAGTCAATCACTCTGTGAACATAACTCGATGTTATGTGATATTTGTGAAAGATTTTGGATGGAAAGAGAAAGCTTACCTTACATATGGAACAAATGGGGAAATATGATCTCTTGAAATCGCAACCAAATACCTGAGATTAAATATAGATTTAAACGTATTGAACGTTAGAAGTTGGAATAATAATTATTATAATAAAGCTTTATTTCAGACAATATGCCAATATATTGTACAAGCATTTTCAGCTTATTTAGTTCTAAAATAGTTTTTCATTCAGGATATACATGTAAAGTAATAGTCTGAAGAATATCTTCAATTCGTTGATGAATTCCACAGCGTTTACTTGGAAACAAGTTAAATCAGCGCTCAGGTTCATTTATAGAAAGCTTAATATAAGTGTACGATTAAAACAGCGATAAATTCAGGTGAAAATACGCATTTTAGTGGGAAGCAATTTTGGTAGCGCAGTGATTCAAGCGAGCCACGTTGGAATTTAATTTAGTTGGTTCTAAGTGGATTATGCTTTCATAGTGTGGCTGAAAGAACTTATGTTACGTACACTATTGCTAATGAGTGAATATCAAAACTTATGACATTATTTTCATCAACATAACTTATTCTTTTACAGACACAAGTATCACTTAGCAAAATAACAAAAAGTATTTCTGAACAAAACAGGAACAGCACTTTGTGAAGAATTAGATAGCATCATCATTTATTTCGTTGGCTTCTCATCAGCTCTGTACAGTCTAAAGAAATTATTAAGTTTATATGCATAACAATCTTAACATACTTTCCAATACTACATGATGTCAGTTGACACTGAGCTCCAGTCTGAAAGAGCGGTGCTCAGAAAATCACACATATGTAGTTTTAACCCAGATAGTTCAAGTTTAAACAAAAATAAATGTTTGCAAACACTGGTCAAGGAGTTTCTTTATAAAGCCAAGAGGTTACTAAGATGGTGAGCAACCAACAAATCAAGTAACAAAATGCCAAGTTCAACTCCAGTCATAGAAACAAGAAACGAGCAAAGCTACACTTTATGAAAAGGGGAGGGAGATTGAGGCCCCAGATAACTTAATCAAACGAAAGACAGAATGAGTATATCCAGTCACCATGGCAAGGGAAGACTGATAACTGCTTCTTCATGAAACACAAATAGCTTTTCAGGAGTTTGACAGTGATCGCTTCGGTAAACTTGAGGGAAATTGAACTATTTTGTTTATTGATAATCTCAAAGGACTTCGCGACGTCCAGTTCATGACCCTTATTGATGAGATATCTGACAATAGCACTGTGGTGAGCATTCTTTCCCTCGAGACTTGGATTTTTGGTATGAGTAGAGGAAATCTGAGGTGTGCTCTTCTTCCAGTTATCCCAAAGTAGTTGTTCCTTTAAATGCATGGTAATTTGTATACACGGTCAGGGTTATCGTGAGAAGTGTATCTGTCGACTTTTGATTGCACCAAAGATCATGCTGTCCAATGAACAAGAACCAGTTTAAATGCAGGATAGGTTTTGTCCAGTGGCGTGGTGACTAGTCCTGCAAAACTGTCACCTTTAAATCCGAGATGAGCGAAGGCAGGCATATTTCTCACTGTGACTTATCTGGCATTTGAGCTTTCACATCCCCCGTAGTTATATATGGGTTTCTGAGGGTAATCGTTGTTTTCAAACATCCTTTCAAGAGACAGAAATTCTCCCTCTAATTTCTCTGTAGAGCATATTCCTCTGACTCTATTGAACAGAGTTTTGACTGATGCTTCTTTATAGATATTTAAACAAAAACTACTAAAGTATAAGTGTTGTCCATTCCACATCACATTTCAATAAACTGACTTCTGGAGACTGCCATCCTCCAGGCAGTGCATGAAAATGTGTATGAAATGAAACTTTCATTTTCATGTTCAATAGTGGATTCAGTATTTGTGTGAGTCGCTGAACAACCCGAGTTGGTAGGAAGCATAGCTTTCACCGTTACACATTACAAAGTTAGACATGTAGGCGTCTCGTACAACAGGGTTGAGTGGACTGTTACAGCTACAATACCTGTTTGTTGGTAAACAGTGTTGTCAAAATGGAATTGTACTTCCATAGTACACATAAGCAGGGGGCGTTTAAATTTTGACATTGGAAGTGGGAGACAATCACAATGTAGAGTATGATATTCATACTTTCATTGATTGGCATCCTTTTGAACAACGAGTTTACATCAGATGACGCCATGAACTTACTAGAAACGTTCATGTGGTTCACGCTTTCCGCGAGGTGAAATTAATCTTCCATGGTGTACGAAGTTAGCCGTTGTTGTGTTCCAACTTCCCCACAGTCTAAACAGCAAACTTGTGTTGAAGTGAGTTCATCGTAGAAAGTACAGGTCTCAAGAGGACATGGCATTGCCATACATGTAAGGCAAACGTGACCCTCGGGATTTTAAATCATTGTAAACATCGTCGTCAACCACTTTCTACTTCAGGGCAATCTCACAATACGTCTGTGATGCGTTTGTCAATTGCATCTGTCTTATCTTTCTATCAATCCTCCACTTTAAATTTCAGTAGGTTATTTAAAACAGTTTCCGTGTTTGCAACGTGGTCGTCTTTGTCCATCAACATCGTCCATGAGACTTTGTCAGGTAGCGATGCAACACGTTTGTCATTATTTTTGAGAGCTTTGAATTCTCTTCAGCGCTCCTAGGAAGGAATTTTTGGGTATGACGTTGGTGAAACAATGTAATAATTCGCAAAATCGAATTGCTTAGATTCTAACCAGCCTTTCTTGCCCTCATCATCTAGGTTATTCAGTTGATACGATAATTTAAGAAATAAGCCACGATATCGGTTCTTTCGACAAATCTGTTCGGAATATGAAATTAAAAACCAAGGGAAAGTGCTGCCATTTCAGTTCGAATTGATTTCGATTTCGACAGATTACAGACAATCTTTTCAGGATTTTCGGGCAAGGCACTATACAATCCCCGCTTTGTCAAGGATTTTGACAGAGTTCTGTAAGAATCTTTACATATTTTCTGTTAAAAAACTCGAATGAAATTGTGGAATTCGATCCCGCATACTTTATTCATACTGCTGATGACACCATCAAAGAATTGGGCTTCAGTTCTCAGTTTTGAAACTAGAGACTGCGTTGATTTGATGTGCTATTTAGTTTTATGTCGAAGATTTTTTAGAGATGTCAGTAGTTTGCAAGCACATAGTTACGTGATCAGTGGGCGAGCAAAGTAGTGAGACTGTGCTCACTATTCTTAAAACTTTAACCGAGTTACTTATCTGTATATTGTCCAACGACATGTGAAGTATTACGGTTCAGATGTTCCGTCATTGTGATATCATCAAAAAGGGTAAGGTATTCAGCCCAAGATTTTCAGTTACCCATTAGGAGTGGTTCTAAGTTATTCACACAAAAAGACACTGGTAACCAGTTAAAATTAAAATTAGTTATCGAATGCATTTATGATAACATTCAGCAGGCATAGTATTGTCTCATCTGTGTTCAAGGTTTTGATGACATTATCAAGCCTATTACCTATGTAATAAAATCACATAATTCGATAGTAACCGATGAGTTTCGGGATTTCCATATAACTATACTTTCTCAAAATTTCATGTTTACTGGATTACTAAATGCAACTCCGACGAGATGCAGCGTCAAATGGAGAAATGTATTCTACGTATCAATCATTCACCCAACTAGTAGGCTAGAAGTTTGGTAACAATGATTGACATGACTGGATGACTTACAATATATCAGTTCCAATAAAATGACAGACAGATTGTATGACTCTGTCATCAGCTAACACCAGATTACAATATAATTATTTCGTATTAACATTCAAAAAGTGTATCAAAATCAGGATAACAAAATTAATCCCGTTAACTCATACAATACAGTATCTACCATTCAGTTATACTCACATCGCATTTAACCAAAGGAATACTGGAAAACAACTCACGTGACTGGCAGCCAGAATAGTGCGTGTAGAACTGCAAATAATGGAAGTCTGGACCAACGAATCATTTTAGAACATGTTTCTAAATAAGTTGAATAAGTTTCAAAAAATATGTTTCGATTAGATATGTTTCAAGAAATCTGAATACACACTCAATAACTTCTTCAGTAAATTCTTTAATTTAATGGTGTTTAGGGGAAGAACGAATGCCGTTTCAGATTACAGTCATATAGTTCCTACATATACACACCAATCAGCTGTCAGGCTAAACCTATTTCTTTATTTGTCCAATTCATTTCTTCAGAGAAGTACACATTTCCTTCTTTATATAGCGAGAATCCCTATTCGGAAATTTAGAAGAGAAAAATAATGGGCAAGGAATATTCTACTTTACGATAATTTCCTCACCAGGTTCTCCATTTCTATATACATACATAACATTTAACGAATAACTGTTACCGACAATATTGGTGTTTACTAAGTAATATTGAGCTGTTTAGATTAACAGTTCACTGTTCTGAAGCATGAGTGTGTTATAATTCACATAAATATGTAGTCCTAAATTGAATGTCAGATAAGAGATGAAAGAAAATTAACGTGGCAGGAAAATAAGGTCGTTAAAACAATAATAATAATATTAATAAGATGAAAGCCGGATTACGCATACAAACTCAATTAGGGTAACATTTTCCCGCATATGAATCTCATCTAGCCATTTGGACAGAATAATCTAATATTGAAACTTTTCACCGAATCAATGCAAAACACGCACATTGGGAAGGACGCAATGCCAACGCCGGATAAACAGAAAATCTTACTGGGGTAAAGGTTAAATATAGAGCTCAGTAGTGAATGACTGCTCAAACTGAATACATAAGTAGTATATAAAGACGAAGTGGGCAAAATAATTGTGTGGTCAGAGCAACAACAACTTTGTAGTGCCTATGATGGAGCGGAAATCGTCACCTCCTCACATTTGTGAAAGGATGGTCAGGATAAGAAAATCGGCTGTACGAACTTCTTCTGAACACACAAGTTTGACTTCAGGTGAAATACGATAGCTTTAGCTGTAAGTAGAAAACGAATTCGTAATCCCAAATGAAGAGAAGTCGGAATTCTATAATCTCTAATGCCCAGCCAACATTAGCCTGACTTTCACTATCAACAAGGTGAGAGAAATTGCAGTGGTTGTGAAGAGACAGAGCAACTCTGCTGCACTGAATGCTCGTTTTACTGAATTCCTTACGCGTTGTGTTATTTCTATTTCACTGATGTTATCAACGAGGAAGTGAAGTTTTAGAGGAGTGAGTTCTGTGGAGCCCCAGGATATTGTCGCTTGTCCTGGCATTAAATTGACAGATTTATCAAGAATTTCTACCAAGTAATTCTCTAACAAACTTGAGTTTCTTATTAAGGTAGTCACTAGGATGGGTTACACTTTCTGTATGAAGTAAACACTCTGTCAAAGGAGCATTCAAATTTCTAAGGTACAAAACTCAAAAGTGATCCTACTGAGCAGTCAATGTGGGGTCTCTACATGTACGCCATTTTGTTGTAATAACAAGAGTCTTCAATTGACTCTACACACATCTGGTCAATATATGACTACATGATAAACGACGACACGGGAAGTAATACACCAATCACGAAAAGACTCGTCACCAATAATAAGTGCCGAAAACTCTAAACGATTTTACGGAGTCGGCTTCTAAAACTGCTGGATTCGGGTTTACAACTTGCAGTTACATTTCAACAAGACACATCTTGAAGAAAGATGCACAAACAGCGAAGAAAATTTTCTTTTCGACGATTCATTTTCATGAGCTGTACAATCGTAATTATAATTAACAAAGAAATCTTTAGACCAATCAGATACTGGTAAATTTTGTCCTTGGAAAATTGTATTACATAATGTAAGGTGTAAGAAGGGATGACTAATTGTAAGTTAGAAAGGAGACAGAAGTTGGCATGACGTAATAAGTGTGAGATAGTGAATAATCAATAATCTCGTGTAAAATGGACAGGAACTAGTGGAAAGGCTATAAAGTGTTTTTGTATAAAATATGTATGAAAAACAATGTTATTAATAAACAGTAATAGAGTGGTAATAAAATGTGGATGATGGGGGCAAAATGATAAAATATTAATAAAATAAAATAATAATGGTAATAATAGTGAACTTACATAATAAAGGAAGGAAGCAAAATTGTGACAAGAACTTTACTCCGGCCATGGTAAGGCTAGAGAATGTATGTATCGCTTTTGTATGCAGAGGTCCGGTTTTAGATCTCGAATAGCTAATGCTTCAGCTATGTACAGATGGCGAATCCGAAGTCCCTTTGTACGATATTGAGGGACTCTGTGTAACACTGTGAAGCATTCATGTGGGGGTGCTCGATGTCCAGAGATGACAAGGTGTTCGAGGATCGAGCTGTTGCTATTCTTCTTTTCTCCTCTGACCAACCAAGCGGGGCAGTGTTCCAGAATACGTTTTTGGACTTGACGTTGCGTACGGCCAATATACTTTGCTCCACACGAGCAAGTAAATTGATAAATACACATTGAGGTGGCCAAAAGCGGTATCTTGTCCTTCACGTTAGACTGGATTAACTGTCTGCAGGAGAATGTGATACGTAGAGTGGCTGTTGGAAATGTCTTCTTCAGACATTTAGAAAGGCGGTTTCTGAGAATTTCAGCTGCGACATCACCTTTGAATTCTAGGTTCATGAAGAGGGTCTTCTTAGGAACCGTTGCGGTGTTTGACATCGGAGGCTTCTCCTTCATGTTTTTGTCAATAAATCTTGGTGGATATCCATTCTCTAGTAGGATTTTACGTAATAAATTTAATTCATTCTCCACCATGTCTTCCGAGCAGATTTTTCTAATCCTTGAGCTCAACGTACGTATCAGGTTTCTCTTTCGGGTTAGTGGGACGAAGCTCTGAAAGTTGATAAACTGTCCAGTCCATGTTGGCTTGCGGAATATTGATCTTTGGATCGTACCATCGTGTCGTCTGGTGAGTAGTACATCAAGGAATGGAAATGCGTTGTTCGATTCTCTTTCTAAGGTGAAACTTATTGATGGATGCGCTGCGTTGAAGGTTTTGAGGAGAGAATCTAAATCACAATTTTCATCACAGATTATAAACGTGTCATCTACGTATCTCTTGTATAAGTGCAGCTGACTTATCAAGGGATTGAGGATGTTGTTTTCTAGACTCGCCATGAAGCAGTCGGCTAGGAGTGGACCGAGAGGAGACCCCATAGCTACTCCATCTTTCTGTACTTAGAACTTTTCATTGAATTTGAACTGTATATTGAACGTACATCTGAGAAGAAGTTCCTTCAGGTAGTTTATTGGGAGAGGAACTTCTAGGTTGTTGGTTTCGATGTAATCACAAATGAAGCATATTGTTTCAGTTAGGGGGATGCTTGTGAATAGAGAGACGACATCTAGTGAGATCATTTGTCTTTCAGACACGTTGACATCCTTCACTGAGTCGATGAAGTCAAATGTATCTCTGAGGCTATATTTTGTCATATGTCTTTTAACTGGTTCGAGGATATCAGCTAGCCACTTCGCGATTTGATGATATGGTGAGTTAACCATGTCTATGACCGGTCGAAGTGGGACATTCTCCTTGTGCACTTTAGGCAGTCCATACAGTCTTGGAATAGTTGAACTGCAAGGTTTTATTTGCTCATAAACCTCCGGTGTTATGACTGAATCTTCTTTCATTCTCTTCAGCAATTTTGTAAGTAGGTTTTCAGTTCTTTCGGTTGTGTCTTTCTGGATCAATTCAAAGCTTCAATCCTTGACAGCTGTTACAAGTACATTCATACGCGACCGAGCCACCGTTATCTACTGACCAAGGAACACAAACGACAACTTAAACAGCTTCAAGAAAACAAAGACATAATCCTCGTCCGTCCTGATAAGGGCAATGGTATTGTAGTAATGAATAGATCCGATTACAATGAGAAATTGACAGTTATACTATCAGATAACACCAAATTCTTCGAATCACCCAACCAGGAAGACACTACCGAAAGAACTGAAAACCTACTTACAAAATTGCTGAAGAGAATGAAAGAAGATTCAGTCATAACACCGGAGGTTTATGAGCAAATAAAACCTTGCAGTTCAACTATTCCAAGACTGTATGGACTGCCTAAAGTGCACAAGGAGAATGTCCCACTTCGACCGGTCATAGACATGGTTAACTCACCATATCATCAAATCGCGAAGTGGCTAGCTGATATCCTCGAACCAGTTAAAAGACATATGACAAAATATAGCCTCAGAGATACATTTGACTTCATCGACTCAGTGAAGGATGTCAACGTGTCTGAAAGACAAATGATCTCACTAGATGTCGTCTCTCTATTCACAAGCATCCCCCTAACTGAAACAATATGCTTCATTTGTGATTACATCGAAACCAACAACCTAGAAGTTCCTCTCCCAATAAACTGCCTGAAGGAACTTCTTCTCAGATGTACGTTCAATATACAGTTCAAATTCAATGAAAAGTTCTAAGTACAGAAAGATGGAGTAGCTATGGGGTCTCCTCTCGGTCCACTCCTAGCCGACTGCTTCATGGCGAGTCTAGAAAACAACATCCTCAATCCCTTGATAAGTCAGCTGCACTTATACAAGAGATACGTAGATGACACGTTTATAATCTGTGATGAAAATTGTGATTTAGATTCTCTCCTCAAAACCTTCAACGCAGCGCATCCATCAATAAGTTTCACCTTAGAAAGAGAATCGAACAACGCATTTCCATTCCTTGATGTACTACTCACCAGACGACACGATGGTACGATCCAAAGATCAATATTCCGCAAGCCAACATGGACTGGACAGTTTATCAACTTTCAGAGCTTCGTCCCACTAACCCGAAAGAGAAACCTGATACGTACGTTGAGCTCAAGGATTAGAAAAATCTGCTCGGAAGACATGGTGGAGAATGAATTAAATTTATTACGTAAAATCCTACTAGAGAATGGATATCCACCAAGATTTATTGACAAAAACATGAAGGAGAAGCCTCCGATGTCAAACACCGCAACGGTTCCTAAGAAGACTCTCTTCATGAACCTAGAATTCAAAGGTGATGTCGCAGCTGAAATTCTCAGAAACCGCCTTTCTAAATGTCTGAAGAAGACATTTCCAACAGCCACTCTACGTATCACATTCTCCTGCAGACAGTTAATCCAGTCTAACGTGAAGGACAAGATACCGCTTTTGGCCACCTCAATGTGTATTTATCAATTTACTTGCTCGTGTGGAGCAAAGTATATTGGCCGTACGCAACGTCAAGTCCAAAAACGTATTCTGGAACACTGCCCCGCTTGGTTGGTCAGAGGAGAAAAGAAGAACAGCAACAGCTCGATCCTCGAACACCTTGTCATCTCTGGACATCGAGCACCCCCACATGAATGCTTCACAGTGTTACACAGAGTCCCTCAATATCGTACAAAGGGACTTCGGATTCGCCATCTGTACATAGCTGAAGCATTAGCTATTCGAGATCTAAAACCGGACCTCTGCATACAAAAGCGATACATACATTCTCTAGCCTTACCATGGCCAGAGTAAAGTTCTTGTCACAATTTTGCTTCCTTCCTTTATTATGTAAGTTCACTATTATTACCATTATTATTTTATTTTATTAATATTTTATCATTTTGTCCCCATCATCCACATTTTATTACCACTCTATTACTGTTTATTAATAACATTGTTTTTCATACATATTTTATACAAAAACACTTTATAGCCTTTCCACTAGTTCCTGTCCATTTTACACGAGATTATTGATTATTCACTATCTCACACTTATTACGTCATGCCAACTTCTGTCTCCTTTCTAACTTACAATTAGTCATCCCTTCTTACACCTTACATTATGTAATACAATTTTCCAAGGACAAAATTTACCAGTATCTGATTGGTCTAAAGATTTCTTTGTTAATTATAATTACGATTGTACAGCTCATGAAAATGAATCGTCGAAAAGAAAATTTTCTTCGCTGTTTGTGCCTCTTTCTTATGACTCAATATGGGAATATTTCGTTCATTGAAGAACATCTTGAAGAGTTGCGACACTTATTTTAGCTCTGAACTTAAGCTGAAGACACCCTGTGACACTTTAAAACTATGCAACTC